TGTGCCTGACAGCAAATAGTGTAAAATAGTGTAAATCACACCAGGTGTTCGCAAGACACGCCAACTCCTGCGACTGCATCTGCTGGATATACGTCCATCTGGATTATCCGGAGGATTTTCCAGGAAGCTCCTGCATGTGCAGAGGCTCAGGGATGGGTGTAAGAGTTGATGTGCGGATAGGAATCCTGCTGCGGGTGTAGGTGTTGCCTCGGCCACTGGTACGTGTTCACTGGTGGTTATTAACGGTAGGGATGCAGAAGCAGGGCTTTGGCAGCACAGCTTGAGTTTCCTCGCTCAGGCTCCCGTCGGCCGATCTCTCCGGAGGCTGCAGTGTCAGCCAGAGGTTACTTATTTCCCATATAATGCTTATCTCGGGCTACTGTGCTGAGCACCCTGGGCCAGCAGCACAGCTTAGAAGCAGAAATGATGCTCAGTGCTGCCTGCAGCCCACAGCCCAGGGAATCCCACCCGGAGGCAGGTGATCGGAGCTGCTCCCCATCGCTCTCAGCATGGTTTGAGGGAGGGGTTAAAATGCCAAGTGCTTTAATTCTCTTTTTGTAAAATTGGGCTAATATTGTTCATGAAAAGCTGCGAGGGTAAAATGTACTCACCGTGCTTTCAGCTGGGGGGTGAGGAGAGCAGCTCAGGGTACATGCAGGTAATGACACAGGCATCATCGGGATATGAGGAGTTAGGTAGGGTTTTTGTAACGAATTTACTTCTCAAGCCGGAATTTACCTCCTCAAGGCCGGAGGGTTTTTGCAAATGATACAAACCGTATGGAAGCCCATCAGAAACCACTGAGACTGAAGGGCTCAGAGGAACTGCTAACAGCCCTGTGAGGAAACGTGCTGATCAGCGTGAGCAAGCACGGGGGTGTCTCAGACAGCGGCGTGGGACGGCTGCCTTCAAACCTGCAAAGGGACCATCAGCAGCCGCCGATCCCTCCCGCTTCCCCACACCTCGCCCTTGCCCATCAGCAGACGAGGAGGGAGCCGGCTGCAGCCCCCCGGCTCAGGCAGATCCATGACGGACAGGAGGTTCTCCCAGGTATTTAGGTAGCTAACGACTGCTGCTTTAAATAGGGCTTATGCAAATGTCATTTGACACAAACTTACATAAATGCTGAATATCTATCAACTCAAAATTTGACATGCTATTTTTCCAGTGTATTTTATTTTTGGCAAGAAGTACAATAGGACATGATTTTCTGCCTGTGCATGCCTCCATCAAAGGTACTTTTCTGAAATGAATGAAGCTTTCTGGTGAAGTGCTTTTGACCTATTTCATCACCAATTTAACTTGTTGCCAAGAAATAAAATGCAGCCAAATTGTTCCTGTTTATTTGTGAAGCTGTGATACAAAATGTGGAGTTAGAAAAGCTTTTAAAACTAGAACTGTTTAATGAATGAACCTCCAGTTATTTCCTATATGGGCTGCTCACATACAAGTTAGTGAGAACACAGCAAAATTTTGACTCATAAAGCCCCTATACATTTTTTTTTCGGTCAGAACTGGCAAAGTTTGTTCCTACAAGGAAGACTTTCCAGAAATGCAGCCTATGGTTCAACAGCCTGAAAGAAATCTTCCTGCAGAGCTACCCTGTCTGCCACACTTAATGAATAAATAGCCCAGCGCCTGCAAGGGCTCTTGTCTTCCCATGTAAAACAGATCTCAAAAGCCATGTCCAGACCCAAAATGGGGTGGGGGAGACACCCCTGCTCTTTCAGCTAGGGAAGGCTTTGGGAAGAAGACGCCAGGAACATGAGGTGCTGCAGAAATGCCCTGGGAAACACAGGAGAACTGCTTTGTTTCTGCTAGAAAGTATTTGCCAGTACAGTCATACGCTGCGAACACGGAGCAGCTGCAGCCGGTGAGATAGACGATTAAACCAGCGCCAGCGTTGCTTCTGCCAACGCGGGCTGTTTGCCACCGCACTCTCCGCCTGCAGCATCTGCTCTGCCTGCGCAGAACCTGGTAGAGACAAGGCTAGGAGGAACCTTGCCCCATATTACTACCCGAGACCTATCTTGGCCTGACTTCAGTTAGCTGTTCCTAGGTAAAAAATGCTACTGAAATCTTGATTGCACCTTTTTTTTTCCCCCTGATGAGTTATTTCTTACAACTTAGGCAATAACCCTGGAGCCAAGCAATGCCGTATTCATCCGTCAGTGCTGGTGGGGAGGGATACATCTTCCTGCAGTCATTTGACAAAAGTTGATTTTATGATGCAAAAATGAAGGTTATCCACGTGATTTTTTTTCCCCTTGTTTTCCATATGAAAGCAGTTCATTATGAAGTGGTACCTGTTTGAAGAAGCAGACCCTATTCACCATCTGGAGTCAAGGCATGCCGGTGTGACTCCCCTGACTTTAGTGTTTCTGTATAGAAAAGTTTTGGTCCTGGGGGAAGCACGGCTACCGGGTGGTACTGTGCCAGCTGCAGGAGGGACAGCCACAGCGCGTGTTAAACGCTTGAATGTTCCCTGCTAGATCTGAAATACTTTCCTGCTTGCGCAAGAGTCATATGAAGGTGGCTACTCTTCTTTAATAAAAATGCACGTATTTTGCTAGGTTTGGCTACACGTTCCGTGACATGCAGAAAGAAGTCCATTTCCTAAGTGAGAAGGAATGAGCTCCCTCGCAATGAGCAGCCAGTCCCCTTCCTTCTGACTTTTGCGACCCCAGATTAAATGTTTTAAATTCTGTTCTATACACAAAGTTGTGGCAATTTCAGAGTGTTGGTATGGTTAAAATTTGCAGACTGTCCTGATGAAATGTTAGGTTAAATGAAATTATTTGTATGTTTATAGTTTATATGCAGAAATTAAATGTCTACACGGGGCTTTAATGGGCTTTAACGTTAGTTATTCTGATTTTAAAAAAGCAAACAAACAAAAAACCAAAAAAACCCCCCATAGTCTAATCAAGTTAGTTATACAGGTTTGGGAAAAAAAATTAAAACCCAACGACGCAGCTTCTCAGCTAGGTAAAAGCCTCTATGGGACCATTCCCCGCAGAATTGCTTCCTATAACTGAGACACAGGTTTTACTTGCAGGGAACGGAGCAAGCCCGTGAAGTCTCGCATGCCGTGCCGGTACCCGTTTCGTACCCCATCCCGACGCCGAGGGGTGCCCGCCCTGCAGCCGTGCCCGGCTCCCGCGCGGCGAGGAGAAGCACGTGGCAGCGCTGAGCGAACCTGACGGAGACTCGCTTCTCCAGCCTGCGTGCAATCGTCCCGGATCCTCCACCGCCACGGACCCGGTAGGGTTATAAAGGGCCTCATCACTTTATTTCTTTTTCTGTTCACATTTAATACCACAAACACAGCTGAGATTTGAAACACTTATGTGACGTTAGGTGTGTGATCGGTTCATTTACACAGACATGTTATTAGTGAGCTCACATCTTCACAATCTTTTCAAGATTCCCAAATCTCTTGTTTCCCTGAGTTGCATGACATCTGCCATCAGATCTGTTTGTCAGTCGACAACGAGCGAGAGCACGAAATGAGTAACAAGGCGGATGTGGTTAAAGACGAAACGGGAGATGATCCTATAGCGCTGTTGCTCGTTTGTCCCTTAATTTATAGGTTTGCATTCATCAAACCTCTGCTTGCTGCTAGTGCTGGAGTGGGGAGCAAGACAGGCTCAGGTGCCACACAGAGGAGCAGCAATCAGCCCTAGCTGGCCCTAGCAAAGCACTGGATGATATAAAAGACACAGTATATACAAAGAGGCCAAATTCTCTTTTTAGTTATACTTGAGCAGCACCGTCAGCTAAAGGTGTAACAGGCGGAAAATGGCCCATCAGCGTTAACAGGAGTTTGAAGGCAGTAGGACTTTTGCTAACAGACAGTTCATTGTGGAGAATCAGTTGTGGACCAGCTGGTAATAAATACTAGAACAAAATAAATAGAAAGCTGCTATTGCACAGGCATGCTCTGAAGCTCTATTAGCTGGACCACAAAATCTACGTGTTGGTGTGACAATAGATGCAGTGTAAGACACACTTAATAGCATAAAGGATGGAAAGTTTTCTGGTTTGCCTTCTAATAGCATACTTGAGTTATAAAAATCAATTGAATTTAAGATTTTTATGGATCAAGTATGAGAATGTGTCTGCCTGTGTCTTTTAATGCACATTTTTCTATTACTTTGTCAGGTCACGTTGATTAAAAAATGTTCTCAATTTAATACTGCAGCAAACTACACCGGGCTTTATGGGGGGACGTGGTACTGGTAACCAGCTGATATGCTTTAAACAGAAACAAGTGGTGTTTTACAGGCAGGAGACCTGTCCTTAGCAGACTTAGGGTGTACAGTGGTGGGCGGCATAGGGACAGGTAGTCACAGACTCATTGCAAATATCAAAACAACTAAAAGCTTCCAAGTTCAGACACATCGAATCATTCACAGTCAAGCTGAACAAAACAAGTACCGATGATTTAGCTAGAAAAAAGAAAAAAAAAAAAAGACTTTGGTGGGAGATTGCACTCCATATTTTTATAGCATCACTGCAGTCCTCAAGTCAGCACTGCCCTTGTCCCACTGATATATATTTTAAAAAAAGATATTTCACTACAGTCATGTTCTAAGCCACTTCTGTGAAGGTATTTTTTTCGTCTCCTTTCTACTAGGACATGACATGAAGGTCATTTATTTTTAGCATGTTTAAAAATTATCCATTTTATTTCTCCTTTTCTCTTTTAAGAAATCATTTTCCTCATTCAGAGAAAAATGTTAGTTTATTTAAAAATTAAGATTATGAAAAGTGTATCAAATTCCATGTTTACTACTCCAAAAAGGCAATTCAATTTTCTCTCCCTAGGGTCTAGTTATATGCTAGCAAAATTCTTAGCAAAACTAAAGTTAACTCTGAAAAAATTCAGCTTGAATTAACTGCTACTGAAGTCACACAAACTCTCAAGCGAACTGGGCTACCTTTGCCTGTTAAGAATGGTAAAGCCTAGCTCTCCTGCTAAAGCCAGCGCCAAAAAATCATATGGGCAAAAGCAGCAGAAAAATAATACTTGAGTGCTGCCAAATTCTGTGACCATGTGCCTCCTTTGGTAGTCTCAAAGTTTAGTTTTTTTAATCTTTGACTGCCTACATTACATCTTTCAGCAAATCCAGATGATGACAAAAGTACAGCTTTAGTATTTCGATTTGTGTTTCTCGCCCTCTTTCTCTTTCGTTATGGCTTTCTGGGAAATACTGGTAAGTGATGCTCTGGTGCTGGAAATCACGTGTCATGTGATAACGCTCGGTTCTGTCCAAACACGCGAACTTTCTTGCTTCGTGCTGGAGAGTCTTTTCTTTGGAAGGGGTTTGAGTCCAAACAGCCGGCAAGCGGCGACGCGGTACTTCTTCGACATGATGTTGTAGAGGATGGGGTTGATGGCTGCGCTAAGGTAGAAGAGGACAAAGGACACCAAGTTGCAGTACTGACTGATCACTGCTATCTCCAAGGATCCAGCTTCAAAGGATTTGGAAAATAAATATCGTCCTACGTGAAAAGGCAACCAGCAGAGTATGAAAGCAAATACCACCACAACTAAAACGAAAACAGCAGAAGAAATTGTGTTAAGTATGAGTATTAGAATATCGGTGATTAAAATTCTATTTCAAAATTCTATTTCTTTAACAAATTAATCACTAAGTGTGAAAATGCATTCTGTAAGTTTTCAGTCTCTCAATACATTCTCTGAGAGTATAAATTAGCAATACTTAATACACATTGATCATATCTAAACAGGCTGCCTGGATATTGCACAACTAATTTGATGTAGCATACTTCTGACCTATAAAACTTATGTTTTCATAAATAGAGAATTAAAGAATCAAAATGGTGACAAAAAAGTATAACAATCTATCATCTGCAGTGTTTAACCAAAGCAAATTATATATAATGTGATAGGCTCAACACTGTGGTTTATAATGAAGAATGTAATCACTGGGAAGCAAAATTATTTAAGGCAAAGGCCCAAAAATAAAACAAACCACCAGAATGTGGACTTGTAGAGCCCATGTGCCAAGGTAAGAACAGACAGTGGTGCATCCCTCCAGTTTGTCCATTTTTTGTAACATGAGTTACTCCAACAAGAGTAAAACGAAATATATAACTGCATAATTATAGTTACTTAGTAGATCTGTAATATTACGCTATCACTATGGTTGCATTTATATGTAAATATAATATATGTCGGGTAATAGGAATATGTGTGTCTTTGAACACACGTATCTGAATTTCCATTTGAATTTCCGCCCATTTGAATTTCCGCCCTAGAGAAAGGGAAACTTTTTCCGTTCATTTCCTGTGTGCTATTGACCTGTATTACTTTTCATATTGCTTTGAGTGTATCTACTAATACACCAGAGAGAAGAAAACCAGAAAACTCGAGCAAGGTTTTTTGACAGTCTTAAGCATTTTTTACCAGTTAACCTGTTCCCTTCTGTCAGCAATCCTGCTTGCTCGTGTCAAGTCACAGGAGATGTAAGATTCAAAGAGTTAAGAGGGATGATTGTCGGCACCTTCCCCAAAAACTTTCTGAACAAGCCTTCCCAAGTTTAATGGATACTTATGCAGGACTTATGGCGAACTCTGAAGCACAGAGCTGAAATTCAGAGTATCTGTTTTCTAGCTCTGCATCTTCTTGAGCCAACCACTTCCATTTTTTCCGCAGTATCTTCACCTACAAAATTCAGATAATGTGTCCCTAGCTCACAAGTGTGCTCTGGAGTTTAATCCATATAATGAATATAATCATGATGGTCATTACAAACAGAATTTTAAGCATAGTCAATATTTTTACATGTGGGCGTGCATATCCCTAGTCAGTTGACAGTTTTTGACAGTTTGATCTTCACGCGTGCAGAATCACATTGATTTCAACAGGAATGGGGTATGATAGCTCTGTTGCAAATCAGGCTATACATTTAGGTATTTAATTATGGACCTAGAAGCATAATCTTTCTCCACAATTAAAAAGAAGCGTAGATGCTAATTGCATTTACTTGATGTTCCATGACTTGCTAAAGTCTTATAAAGTGCCTTCTAAATTTTAAGCAGAACATTAAAACCAATGAGAGCAGACTGCATTGAGCATCTGCTGGTTCTGGGCCCTTACTAACTTCTTTTCTTTCCTTTCCATCTTTCCATCAGGCATCAGACTGTTATCATTTAGAGAATATTGGCTCTCTGACAGAGGACAGTCTTGCCACTGTCTTGCTGTTCTCAGACCTTGTAAAAGAAAAAAAAAAAAAGGTGTCTGAAATATTGTAATGCTTGCGGCTATACTTCAGGGCAGAAATAAAGTTATTATTTCAAAATTCTTTATGGTTAAGTATACAGAAATATAAACATGATAGTAATATAAGCTAGCAATTTACTTATTTTAAGTACAGATTCATAATCTTGAAACTCCAGAAGTGCAAATGATGAATTACTTCCAAGGTCACGCTTACCAGACTGAAGTAATTCTATTGATCATAAAATGTAGCTGAAAGGGCACAAAGAATGACGCGGTTTTTATTATTCTTCCTGCTGTTGCATAGTAATACAGCAGGACACGAACAAAAAAATCAGTTAGGCTCCCATTTAGTAATTAAGGTACTTAGGACACACTGCCACCTCTTCGTCTAGCTCATTAGCCCAGCACTTCAACCTGCTGAAATGAGCACAGCAGAGCTCCTGCCCGTGAAACCTTCTCCGTGCAAAGCAGCTCATCCCCACTGAAATCCATGGGATGACTCGCACTGCGGAGGACTTTTTGCTTGAATAAAAGTACGCAGCAGCAGAAGGATTCTGCAGTTTTCAGACACCAAACTGCAGAACAACTTTTGGGTTTTGTGCATCAAACTACCACCACAGGCACTGACTTAGTATGTTAAAAATTGTGTTTCCGTGTGCCAACAATAACTGTTGTTTAAACCATTCAGCAATGTAAATATACAAAGTTTGGAATGACAGCGTCTATCGTCTCGATCCTGTTTTCCTAAAGTCACTGAGAATTTACATGATAACAGACTTCAGAGGAGACAAAATGCTCCCTGTTCAGCACATGCTGGTGTTTTGCTAATACAAAAATGCAGATTGATTTTCATAAGCTTAACAGCCGTCCTAGTAAATAACCCAAATTTGATAAAACTCTTTTCATGTGAGACTAAAAACTAAGTGCACATCATATCCTGCAGCTCAACTTTGTGGTTTGAGAAGGGTTTAGTTTTGTTTAAAAATCAAATAAACTATCCTTCTGAAAATAACATCGGTATCCACAACCAAAGAGCAAGAATCTCCAGGGCACTGGCTAATTGTAACTGCAGTATTTGTCCTTGTTGGTGATTGTTATTAACATTGGCTTAACTGTTTGAGACTCCCCAGCTCAAACCAGTTAGAAATAAATCTAAGGAAGGAGGGGAGTTATTCTACAAATACCTTGAGGTATAGCCCTTTGTATGAAACATTTTCAACAAATGCTTTCCTTTGGAAGCAACTATAGTGAACTACCAGTGCTCTCTCAGTCTTCCTCTCACACACACACAAGCACACACATCCTTTGGAAAAACAGAGCAAGAGGGTCCTACCTAACATTTTCACAGTTTGCTTGTTGTTCTTATCCCTGATGACAGTGTTTGGACCGATGTTCTTTCTCTTTCTCCTCCAGAGCTTCCTCCCGATGAGGCTGTACAGCACGGTCAGGCAAAACACGGGCAGGAAAAAGAAGATGCTGGAGGTCCAGACCATGATGGTGAGGAGCCCCGAGCGGATGGCGTACTCCGTGGCTCGGCACTCGTTGGTGCTCAGGGGGTTCGTGCCATTCTCGTGCTCGACCCCCACCAAGACAAAGATGGGTCCGGCGCTAATGAAGGAGACGGCCCAGAGGAAGAGGATGACCAGCTTGACCTTCCCCTTGGTGATGATCACTTTAGCTCGGAGGGGGAAACAGATGGCGACGTATCGCTCCACGCTGAGGGCGGTGATGTTGAGGATGGTGGAGTAGGTGCAGCTCTCGCTGACGAACTGGAAGAGCTTGCAGAGGAGGTCCCCGAAGTTCCAGGGCCGGTACTGCCAGAGGCGGAAGAGGTCCAGGGGCATGCAGAGGAAGATAAGCAGGTCGGAGAAGGCCATGCTGGACAGGTAGAAGTTGGTGGTGGTCCTCATGTCCCGGAACCGCGACACCACCAGCATGGTCATGAGGTTGCCGATGATCCCGATGACGAAGAGGAGGACGCAGGCAACGGTGATGCCGGTGAGCACGGGCGCGGGGAAAAGGTGCAGCGGGGGCTCGGTGCCCGTCCGGTTCTCCGCGCCGCGGCCGCCC